TATTCAAGATTATTTAGAAATTTACTTGCTGACGTGACGCCGGCGCCATTTTTTTTACAAGATTCCGCAGGCCCTCGCCAGATCGTGACCTTCCCATGACGCAACGAGGGCCATCATTGGTACTATATAGCTACCTATACTGGCACAGACAGTTCAAAACCGCATTAAAAAGTGTTATGATTAATAGGTTTCCCTCATGAAATGAAGTTTTTACTTATTTACTTACTTTCTTACTTACTTATATACTTACTTATATTAAATGTTCATGATATAGAGTCCGGTTTAAGGTTCATTAATAGGTTTCCCTCATGAAATGAAGTTCTTACTTACTTACTTACTTTCTTACTTACTTACTTATATACTTATACTTACTTATATTAAATGTTCATGATATAGAGTCCGGTTTAAGGTTCATTAATATGTTTCCCTCATGAAATGAAGTTCTTACTTACTTACTTTCTTACTTACTTACTTATATATTTATACTTACTTACTATCAAATGTTCATGATATAGAGTCCGGTTTAAGGTTCATTAATAGGTTTCCCTCATGAAATGAAGTTCTTACTTACTTACTTTCTTACTTACTTACTTATATACTTATACTTACTTATATTAAATGTTCATGATATAGAGTCCGGTTTAAGGTTCATTAATAGGTTTCCCTCATGAAATGAAGTTCTTACTTACTTACTTTCTTACTTACTTACTTATATACTTATACTTACTTATATTAAATGTTCATGATATAGAGTCCGGTTTAAGGTTCATTAATAGGTTTCCCTCATGAAATGAAGTTCTTACTTACTTACTTTCTTACTTACTTACTTATATACTTATACTTACTTATATTAAATGTTCATGATATAGAGTCCGGTTTAAGGTTCATTAATAGGTTTCCCTCATGAAATGAAGTTCTTACTTACTTACTTTCTTACTTACTTACTTATATACTTATACTTACTTATATTAAATGTTCATGATATAGAGTCCGGTTTAAGGTTCATTAATAGGTTTCCCTCATGAAATGAAGTTCTTACTTACTTACTTTCTTACTTACTTACTTATATACTTATACTTACTTATATTAAATGTTCATGATATAGAGTCCGGTTTAAGGTTCATTAATAGGTTTCCCTCATGAAATGAAGTTCTTACTTACTTACTTTCTTACTTACTTACTTATATACTTATACTTACTTATATTAAATGTTCATGATATAGAGTCCGGTTTAAGGTTCATTAATAGGTTTCCCTCATGAAATGAAGTTCTTACTTACTTACTTTCTTACTTACTTACTTATATACTTATACTTACTTATATTAAATGTTCATGATATAGAGTCCGGTTTAAGGTTCATTAATAGGTTTCCCTCATGAAATGAAGTTCTTACTTACTTACTTTCTTTCTTACTTACTTACTTATATACTTATACTTACTTATATTAAATGTTCATGATATACAGTCCGGTTTAAGGTTCTTCATATACAGTACAGTTCGTTACAATTACAGTGCGGTCATTGATTATAGATGGTGATGCATTTATATAAAGTGGATGCATGCGAGCTTGTGTTACACAAACAAGGTTTGGTATAAGCCTTGAGTTAAATAGATTACACACGATTTTGTAGTGTTTTACCCATTGACCTTGTCAGTGTTTGGTGGCAAAGACAAAGATAATGTATCAGATACTGTTCAATAGGCAATTCCAGCTATGGAGTAAATTATCTAGGCAAGAAGAACAAAATCCATCACCACAGCTAGAAAGAGCATGTCAAAATTAGTAAAATTTCAACGTTTGGTTCCGAAATGTTGTAAAATGCGGAAAATATAGCCCTGAGAAATTTGCAAATTTTGTATTATTTTGTATTACGCACGGGAAAATGCACCACATTTGGGCCGCAATTTTACTAATTTTAACGTGCTCATTCTAGTTGTGATGAGACCCACCTATATCTAGCAGTATAGGCGAACTTAGTTTTATGACAAGGTCAACCAGTGAGATTAGAAAAACGTGCAATTTCTGACTATATACTGTCTGTTACTTGTCCCAGTCGCCCGTGCTTGAAAAACCGAAAGAAGGACGGGGCTGAAGTATGACACTATCACAATGACGATGATGAAGTTCGCCAACACGTGTCGTTTCCAGTACTTCGTCCAAACGCGACCAACTGGAATATTGTAGTAATGGATTTGCACAAAATTTGAAAGGCAATTGAAAAATAGATCAATTCCAATGCCAATTGCAACTCTTTTCAAAGATTCCAAACAGAAAGACGACACCGAAAGTTGAAAACTTTCTACAAAGTACAACACGAAGTAACCTTGGCTTAAAACAAGTGTACCGTATTCAAAAAGCATATCTTGAATTTCTAAGTCAGCTTTTAACCGTCTATAATGAGATGTATTGCGAGGTAATTCCCTGAGCCCTTGACAGCAAACAGTTCGATTCAAACGTGAGATAATGTATCGCCACAATTTTATCCGCATTCCATGGGTCGCCTTTTCGAAAAAGTTCAGAAAACCAGAGATCAGAGATAACCCAATAAAAAGCCAAATGCTTTTCAAATCTGCTTGCATTGTGCGGTATAAGAGTATGACACCACCTCGGATAAAATATACCAGGACAAAACTCCGGCCGGGGTCTACAACCTCGGAACTTTGTCCCAACGCTATGAAGTGCTTACAAATCATTGCAGGGATAATGGTTATTGCCGGTGCAATCGCAGCCACCATGAATTTTAAATTTTCTTGTTTTATGCTATTAAACTTAGTCACTATAGAGTATCTGTAGATATATGCCAGTGCAGAGCATGCGAGGAACTCTGCTGAAACTAAAGCGAAAATATGAAACTTAGAATAGGACAATGTATAATTTCTCGGTCGGTTCGCTCGGATATTGCAAAGGATGATAATGCTACAGCAAATTATGCCAGTTAAGAACAGCAGATTTGCAGGATATCTGTAAGACATGTGCGTATCGTAGACACCAAATACTAGCAAAAATAAGTAATAAATTATTGTCATTCCTCCGAAGATAAAAGCGACATAAAAAGTGGACATAAACCTCAGTTTAAACTCTTTCCACCCAAATAGAACTACAGATGTCAACGGAAACCAAAGATTGGTTATCACCGCTTCAACACTGTCACCGATGACGCGAAGTCGTTTTACAGAAAATGGTAAAGTGTTGTTGTGATGCTGCCATTCCAAACAAACATCCGTTGTGTTTAAATCCAAATACAGAAACGCCATTATGGCAGCCGTAGAGGGGATCATGGCGACCATAACAGTTAGTGTTGTAAACAAACTTTTCGAAATCGACTTCCAAAAACTCCGCCGCTCAGACGAAACACCATCATTATCAAGCGTTGTATAATCTGTTAACTGTTCGTTGGTATGAGAGTTTTCGTATTCTTCATTGATATAGGATTGCCGTCTGTCATCATCAGCCTCGGACTCTTCCGTATCACTTGTTACATGGTTATTATTGGTCGGAACTGGAGAAGATACGCGTCGGCGTGGTGTTTCGTCCAAGACAAGCGAAAATAATGACAAAATCATGCCAATTATTTCTGCCAACATACTGCCCATACTGGTAGATTGATTTTATTTCAAATCACAATGAACACGATTTAGTTTGCTACTTTGCTGGACAACGGATTGCTGTTTTTCTGTTATTTTCCCCATGAGGTTCCGAATTTCTATGAACAACACTACATGACGTTTGACAAAGCAAAAATGGTTTCTTTTATATTAAATTCATACAATTAATTCAACATAATCCCCCCCCCCCCCCTATTTCAAGGCCAATACTAAACTTATTTCAAAGGTGTTAAGAAATAGGGGAATATGTAACTGTAAAATAGGATGATAATGTAATTAACTGAAAAAGGGAAAGCCCATAGACGACACAATATATATAACAGACATTTTATTTGCAATGTAATTATAACTCTTCGATTATGAGTTGTGTCATTTTCAAAGTTGGG